AGATGATCTGTACAGTGTATATTTCTAGAGATTGTTATAAGATGATCTGTACATTGTATATTTCTAGAGATTGTTATAAGATGATCTGTACAGTGAATATTCTAGAGATTGTTAACAGATTATCTGTACAATGTATATTTCTAGAGAGTGTTATAAGATGATCAGTACAGTGTATATTTCTAGAGAGTGTTATAGGATGATCTGTACAGTGTATATTTCTAGAGATTGTTATAAGATGTTCTGTACACTGTACAGTTGTTGACAGATATCAGAAACATACTAGACAAATCTGAGTAATAGGCCTGTCAGGATTCTGGTATGGAAAGTTTATTCTCCCCGGACAATTCTTTCCCAGTTGGCCACAAATACACACAACAGAGTAACCCCCGTCTCAAGAAAATCAATAACAAAAGCTTTATTTCCTAAAAAATAACAGAAATTATAGGTCATGGTTACTTGTACAATGTTATAATGAACATTAATAATAGAAAAAATCTTATGATTTATTTAGGTGTGATAGAGGGGAGACTTATTGTTGATCAGTATTGAAATACGTTTTTAAACTTCTGAAAAAAATTACAGTTGAATATTTAACGAAATTCACTAATGCTTCATATGAAAATATTCTTGCTTAACTTTAATGATTTCACAATAAACGAAAATGTTTTAAGCTCCGTGTGACGGAGTACAAAGAGAATGCGGGCTGAAAATTTGGTTTTACTTTCTCCAAGAGGAGATTTTAAGTTGAAGACGACATTACCCGGAGGTCTTAAAGTTAATGGTTAACACTGGCCCCAGGCAGGATTTGAGGATGTTTGGTTGTCATACGAAAATCAAAGCATAACCATTAACAGTGTTTAAAACATGTAATTTGAATGATTGATAGGTACTAGATTGATTGATTGAAATAAACAGATGTAATTTTACAAGATACATGTTGTTATTGTAGGTACATTAATTAATACTGTATTTAACAGGCGAATAATTGATGAGATTAGAAACAATGAAGTAAAATGAATTCATGTTGCACTTTTTCCCGGGTAATGGAGCTGTTCTGTGATTCTGGACTGGTGGGAATAATTGGAGTGGTTGTAGGGTCAGATCTGACAGAGGCTGGGGTTGGCGTGAGGTTCAGGTTAGGTTTCAGTGTTTGGTTCTCTTCTGTTTCTCTTCCTGACCTCCCGATTTCTCTCTGAAGCTCCTGGATTCCCTCCTGTTTCCTTTCCTGTTGCTCCGGTTCTTAACCCAAGCTTCCTGGTTCTCCTCCTGATTTCTTCTAGAAGAAATTGATGTTTCTCCTGTTTCATCTCCTAACTTCCCGGTTTTTTCTCCCAATTTCTTCCTGGAGTTCTTGGTTCCCCTCCTGGTTCTATCCCTGTTTCCTTGGTTCTTCTCAAGGGTTTTAACAGGAAGATCTGGTGTCCCACCTGTTTTTTTTCCAGATTGCCTGGTTGACCTCTTGAATTTCCTGGCATTATTGGAGGAAGGGTCGAGAGGCTCCACCCAGGTGACTATGTTGGAGGGGACAGATCCGTACACCATGTATCCCTGGGTCAGGTTGCTCCGGTACAGGGCCATTCCCTGTGAGTAACGCTCAATCTCTGAAGGAAAGAATAAATTGTTGTCGCCGCCAAGTAGAATTTCTACTCAAGGCCTGTATGCTGTGAGGTCGAGGTCCCCGTGAATGACCTCCACTTGTGAGGGACTGAAAGTGAAAATCCAGAACTGTTGTTGAGGTCGTCCTCTAGCGTCGTTAGCTTCAGGGTTTTCCCAAATAGTTTCAGCTTGACCTCAGTGGTGAGGATAACTCTTGTTTTCCCCGCGTAGGTCAGCACTTTCATCTTGTACGAGGGTCCAAGGGAGTACATGCATTGGGGTATGGTCGAAAGAGTTGACCTGGAGATGAGGCTGAGTTGACAGCCGGTGTCATACTGGATTCCTATCTTGGTCCCACCCAGGTTCAAGGTTTCGACCAAGGGAACAGACTGGTTGGCGCTGACCTTGGAGACGGAGATGAAGGGGGCCTGGTTGTTGTGCATGCAAGCCTTTTTATGCACGGGGATTCCATTTTCGAGGCAACCCTTAGGACACACTTTGGACACACTGCTGTTGTAGGTAGTCTTGCACTTGTAACCGATGCTGTTAGCCTGGGTACATGTAAAACAGAGGCCGTTATCGGCGATCAATTTGAGGATTTCAGGTGAGCTCAGTTTGCCAGTACAACAGGTGTTGGTGAGGAAATAATGGTTAGCTTCAAAACCCTTGATTGAACACATGGCGCAGGGCCTCGGAGGCTGAGGATTAGGTTTGGAGGTCCCTTGTCTGACTACATTGACTCCTACGCTTGAAATACTGAGGTCGAGATCGTAAAGATAAGGGGTGGATCAATAGTTCTTCTCCAATTTTTCTACAAATTGGATTAGGAATAAGAATGTGGCCGGAGGTCAGACATTGTCCGGACACTGTTCTCGGAATTTGGAGAACTGGTCATTGAAAGATGGCCTCACTTCCTTCAGTAGGCTTTTCATGATGTTCTGCACCAGAGACTGGGTGAGGGCAACGCTGTGAAGGTTCTCCTTGTTGTGGAAGTTCTCCATGATGATCAGGTTGGCCTTGAGAGTTTTAATCTTGGGCGAGAGGTCTTCAGCTACCTCTTGGACTGACTCGTAACGAGGGAGGAGGTTAAATGTTTGATTGACGTCCCTTCCGAAAACATCTATGCTTCCGAACTCTTTGATCAGCTTGATCTTGAAGGTGGGCCAGTCTGTGATATTGTTGAAAGGTCCTCGTTTAGCAAGAGGGATGGCATTTTGAGTGAGAGCCACTTTAACAACATCTTCAGCTCAGGTCAGGTTGAATCCATTCAAGATGGTCGCCAGCCAGGGGTAGAAGTCTGCAGATTTACTGCTCCAGTTAGGTGTATCAAGTTTAGGAGGTTTGAAACTGGCGTGAGGTTGTTGAGAGGAGGGGGGGGGGAGTCAGGTACGACGGAGGACATGGAGGCGTGGGTGGTCAGAATATCTGAGGTGGTCTGCCAGGCAGCGTCAAAGGCGGAGCAGTCATACATGAGGAAGTCAAGGTTTGACTCAATCGATTTCTGGAGCAGTTTGATGGTGCTTTTCAAGAGTTCTATGTTATTTTGTTGGATTATTGTATGAAGCCTGCAGGTGGACATTGAGATGAGGTGACCTGGAGGGGGTTGAGGGAGGTCGGCGGGGGGGTTGAGTTGGATTCGTCGATGTTCAGTTCCTCGTCTAGGTTGCAGACATGGTTGGTAGGTGTAGGGCATATCATGCATTCTTGCATTCTGCAGGGATTGTCTGAGGGAGTGTATATTTCTAAAGATTGTTAAAATAAGATTTGTACAGGTAAATAAATGTCTAAAGGTTATAGAAGAAGATTGGTATAAACTGCTTGAGTTGTTTATTCAGTAGTGTATTCAGGGGGGGGGGTCATTTGTTATCTTGCCCCTTGATTATATGTTATATTCTCGAGGTTTGAATGTAAAATATGTGGAAGTCAGTTTGCAGATCGTAGTAATGCAAGAAGACATGCTAAAGCCAAACATTTGGGTCTTCCCACTCCATGTACTCTCTATAGTAAACTACTGAAGAATGAACGAAGTCTGAAGATGATGAAGCAACATCATTCAGACTAAACTCACTTCCAGATGTAGATTGAAGAAAAGGAGCAAAATGTCAAAAAATGTTATCTCTGGGAGCAAAATTAATGAATAGTCAGACATGGTTGACCCATGTGGACCGTGGTTCAACTACTTCTGTTCAACTTAAGTTGTTGCAAGAGAAGTGTTTGGGCAAAGTCTGTGTGGTTCAGCTACTTCTATTTTGTTGATAATTACCACATTTCATTCTGCATTGAAAATTATTTTTTTCTCCTATCTTTGTTGGAAACTGATCTCAGTCATTACAGAGCTTGCATCTTAAAGATTAAACAATAAATTTAGAAATCGTTTCTTGACAAAAAAAAAATATGTTTTCATATATCGATCACTGTTGCTATGAATATTTTTAGGGTAAGATAAGATTCTACTAAAGAGATTTAAACAAAGATTGGTTTAGTCAAATAAAAACTTATATCTTTGACCTAAAGAAAGTATTTTTTATATAAAAATTTAGCAGTAGAAAATCGGTTGCGAATCATTTATAGCACTCAGTGAAGTGCTGAAGTAACAAGTCCAACATTTGAATTTTTTTTCTTTTGAAATAAAATGATGTAAAGTTAGTTTTTAAAAATCTTTATTTCAGAAACTTGGACTCAAGATTAAATAAAAGGAAAAATGATGATGAAGACTGCNTGGTGGAAAAATCTGAAAAAGAGAAAAATGATATTCTGGAAGTTCTAGAAAAAGAAGTCACTTGTCCTGTCTGTCTCATGATCCCAAGAACTGAGAGAATAACTATCTGCAGGAATGGACATACCACTTGTGAGACATGTAAAAGGTAAAAAAAATCAATTAAAAGGGCCTCAGAATTGTTCTACTCTAACTTTTAATATACATTGGAATCCACAAGATAATTTCTGTATAATCCTAATACGTTAAATACATTCTCAATCTGTAGAATGCACAACTTCAAGAAAGAACATATATTTCCATTTTTTTACATCATCCTCAGTCCCAGGACGGATTTGAACAATAAATTTTAAAGTAATTGAATATGCAATTATTCTCAAATCTTAAAGTCATAGTATTTATGAGAAAAGAAACTTAACAAATTATTGAATTATTGTTAAATCTGTTAAACCTTTTTTAGTCGAAATTGTCCTGTCTGTAGAACAAGGATTGAAGACGACATGTTCTCTCCTCTAACTCAGAACATCACTGATCTGTTGGTAGTACCCTGCATATTCGTGGATCAGGGTTGCACAATCAAACTCAAGAAGAATGAAATTGTTAACCATGAGAAGGAAGAGTGCAAATACAGAGAAGTCAAGTGTCCAGTATGTTTTTATGTGATTTTTGCATGTAAACTTCCTAATCACTTCATAAATTGTCCTCGAATATATGTTGTAATTGAAGACGTGAAGTTGGATAAGACGCAGACTGAATCATTTACTTCTAATAAATCGAAAGGAGTCTCTCAATTCTCTCAACCAGTTGTATACAAGCTTGAATCCTCTGAGAATTGGTTTTTACTCTGTGCTGATGTTTTGGAAGATGAACTGGTGTTTTGTATAAAGCATTATAGTGGAGAGGAGAGGAAGGAAGCATTCAGCTGCAATCTCAAGTTCTCCAATAAAGGAAAAGAGTTCTCTAGGTCTATGACTGGAGAGTGTACTCCTATTGAAATGGAAATCAAGGATGCCAGGAGAGAAGGATATACACTTGATATCAGTGTCGAAGTTATGGAAATGAAGTGTTTATTGCCAAACACAGTAAATGAGTACGAATTTGACATTGAATTTGGTTTAATTAAAAACTGAATTTGAAAGTTTATCAATTGAGAAAATGTGGCAATCTAACTTTGCTACATCCCACATTCTCATGCCAACTACCAGTTCATTGTATGTTTCTTGCTATTTTACAACATCATTACTTCTGTAAATTCTTAGTAAACTCCTTTATTGCTCATTGTTATTTCTTGATTAATCCTTTGTCAATTATTCATTGACTTTTTTGTTGAGAGTAAAGACTTATTTTTGGACGAGAAGGAGAAAGAGAGAGCACATAATCTCAAGAATCTGCTGTAATCTCAAGTTCTCAACCCATAAATGAAAAAATGTTAAAATGTTAAAAGTTTTTAAAAAATATTTGTAATTGATATTTTGTGAAAGATTAAATTATTTTTTTAATAAGTTTGGTAACGAATAGTATTGTAATTGGTTTAATATTTGTATTTTTCATAAATCTTCCAACCAGTTTAACAATTTTTAGATGTAAGCATACATTCCATATTTAATATTTTTTAACATTTCTTGCTTACAGATTGATTAACATTTTAATAGATGCAATTAACTTCTATATTTGGAAGTATTCTTTTGAGATCCTATATCCTGTTTTAGAATGTCATGCTATACAAAACATAACTGGAAATATTTGTGAGTGATTTAATTTTTTTTTCAGAAATATGGAAGAAAAATTAGAAAAGAGTACACACTACACACACAAACATGATGAAAATATGGAAATTGGAAAGTCTTTCTGTTTAGAGGCAAGTTTAGAGCAGTGAGCATGACTTCGTTTTTTTTTTATAAAAATTATTTCTCACTTTTTGAGGGTTTTTATTGCTTGAGTTGGACTTTTAGGGAACTAAAATAATTTTTGTAAAAAATTATTAAAACTATTGAAGTACTATTTATCGTTTCTATCTCTTGAAAACTATTTAGCTGTAATATTTTGATACAGTGTATATTTCTAGAGATTGTTATAAGATCATCTGTACAGTGTATATTTCTAGAGATTGTTATAAGATGATCTGTACAGTGTATAATTCTAGAGATTGTGATAGATGATCTGTACTGTGTATATTTCTAAAGATTGTTATAAGATGATCAGTACAGTGTATATTTCTAGAGATTGTTACAAGATAATCTGTACAGTGTATATTTCTAGAAATTGTTATAAGATGATCTGTACAGTTTATATTCCTAGAGATTGTTATAAGATGATCTGTACAGTGTATATTTCTAGAGATTTTTATAAGATAATCTGTACAGTGTATATTTCTAGAGATAGTTAACAGATGATCTGTACAGTGAATATTCTAGAGATAGTTAACAGATGATCTGTACAGAGTATATTTCTTGAGATTGTCATAAGATGATCTGTACAGTGTATATTTCTAGAGATTGTTATAAGATGATCTGTACAGTGTATATTTCTAGAGATTGCTATAAGATGATCTGTACAGTGTATATTTCTAAAGATTGTTAAAATAAGATTTGTACAGTTTAATAAATGTCTAAAGGTTATTAGAAGAAGATTAGTATAAACTACTAGAGTTGTTTCTTCAGTAGTATATTCAGGGGGGGGGGGGCATTTGTTATTTTGCCCCTTGATTATATGTTATATTCTCTAGGTTTGAATGTAAAATATGTGGAAGTCAGTTTGCAGACCGTAGTAATGCAAGAAGACATGCTAAAGCCAAACATTTGAATCTTCCTACTCCCTGTACTCTCTGTAGTAAACTATTGAAGAATGAACGAAGTCTGAAGATGCACATGAAGCAACATCATTCAGACTAAACTCACTTCCAGCTGTAGATTGAAAAAAAGGAACAAAATGTCAAAATGTCGGAGCAAAATTAATGAATAGAGAGACATGGTTGAACCGTGTAGACTGTGGTTCAACTACTTCTGTTCAACTTAAGTTGTTGCAAGAGAAGTGGTTGGGCAAAGTCTGCGTGGTTCAGCTACTTCTATTTTGTTGATAATTATCACATTTCATTCTGCATTGAAAATTATTTTTTCCTCCTATCTTTGTTGGAAACTGATCTCAGTCATTACAGAGCTTGCATCTTAAAGATTAAAGGGACTGTAAAGGAAAAATGAAAGGGGGTATAGGCTGAAAGCTAATCACTTTAGCTCTCGATCGCGACCCATGAAAGTTATATCTGATGTTACTATCTCGAGAAATTGATATACAAATGTGTCAAATTTATACGAAAATTAATATACATACAATTTTGTATAAAAGTAGAGGGTTTAAATAGATTAAGTTCAGCAAATATGCAACCAATCTTAAAACTATGATATCCCAGAGAGAGTTAATTGTAACTTAGGTTTACTCCAATTCTAATTTTATATTTGTTATTTCTATTTTTAATAGATTTAATTCATAATATTATTTATACTTCCGTATTACTTGACCAGAAGTTCCACCAATGGCAGTGCAGTAATGTGGTCACATGATACAGGCGGAGACACGTGATCTGTATACTGCTCTGCCATTGGTGATAGTTCTGGTCACATGATTTAAGTTTAAGATTTTATGAATTTTACATATATGAACTTTCGTATAATTGCAAAACAGTTTAAATCAATTTCTCGAGACAGGATCATCAGATCAAACTTTCTTGGGTCGCGATCAAGAGCTAAAGTGATTAGCTTTCAGCCTATACCCACTTTTATTTTTCCTTTACAGTCCCTTTAAACAATAAATTTAGAAAGCGTTTCTTGACAAAAAAAAAATATGTTTTCATATATCGATCACTGTTGCTATGAATATTTTTAGGGTAAGATAAGATTCTACTAAAGCGATTTAAACAAAGATTGGTTTAGTCAAATAAAAACTTGTATCTTTGACCTAAAGAAAGTATTTTTTATATAAAAATTTAGCAGTAGAAAATCGGTTGCGAATCATTTATAGCACTCAGTGAAGTGCTGAAGTAACAAGTCCAACATTTGAATTTTTTTTCTTTTGAAATAAAATGATGTAAAGTTAGTTTTTAAAAATCTTTATTTCAGAAACTTGGACTCAAGATTAAATAAAAGGAAAAATGATGATGAAGACTGCAGAAATAATTCTGAAAAACGGTAAGTTCTTCTGAATCATTAATATTTGACTGTTGCTTCAAGTATAAAGGACGTGTATGTTTCATAGGACACCCTGTATGTGCACAATATGCTTCTTTTCAGGGACCAGATATAATGAATAGCAAGACATGGTTGAACTGCATTGACATGGTTTAACCAGCGTACAAGAGAAGTGGTTGAACTATGTTCGCGTGATTCAGTTACTTTTCGCTATTTATTATATTATTATTATTGTTGTTAACAATCAACCTACAGACAAAGTACAACGACCTGTATGTTGCAATACAATGAAAACAGGGTTGAGCTCCTTCACTTTCATTGGTCTTTATGGGATCTATATAGTCTTAATTTTCTTAAAATGACTTCAGGTTTCAAGTGAAAGTGGTTTAAACTTTTGTCTATTGTTTTGTTGAAGTTTTAAACATAAAAGCCTAACCTTCCGTACGCTCAAGCATTAGTTTACGCCTGGTGATATGCTTGGGTCAAACACTTTGGTTATCTATACCCAATGGCTATTGATTGTTGAGCACGAGTAATGATTTCGCCAATTCTGAATGGATTTGGAAATTTTGGAATATTTTATTTCATTATTTAATTTTTTCAAGTATCAAGTCTCAACTCGGGCTTATAGTTTTTTTTGTGGTTTATTCTTTAAAAATATCTATTTAATATTTTTGAAGACTTGATCTCCACCACCAATTCATCGTTTAACTGTTGTACATTTTTGACCAGCTTTACATAATATATTTAGTGAAAACATATCAAGTATTAACTATATTTAACTTAGGAAAACCACTGGTGAACCTCAGAACATGGACGGAGAGAAGAACATGGACAGGGAGGAGAACATGCATGACAGGGAGGAGAACATGCATGACAGGGAGGAGAACATAGACAGGGAAGACAACATGGACAGGGAGGAGAACATGAACAGGACGGAGAACATGAACAGGACAGAGAACATGGACAGGGAGGAGGAAAATGGGTTAATCAGGGAGGAAAAGGAGAAGAACAGGAAGAAGAAGGATAAGACCAGGGTTGAGAAGACTGTAGACAGGGAGGAGAGTATGGCCTGGGAGGAGAACAAGGACAGGGATGAGAACATGGGCAGGGGGAAGAACATGGACAGGAAGGAAATTGACATAAACGGGAAAGAAAATGTGATAATCAGGAAGGAGAATGATAAGAACAGGGAGGAGAAGGACAAGAACTGGGAAGAGAAGAGTGTAGACAGGGAGGAGACTGGATTTAATGCAATGAACAAGAGAGAGGAGAGCATGAAGTGGAAGGTGAAAGGTTCAAACATAAACAAGGATGACCTGAGAGAAAAAGAGAATCATAATCTCAAGAAAAGAATATTGGAACTAGAGAAACAAATAACTGAATCTAATACAATAAATGAAAGATCTATTAAAGAGATCAATGACTTGGCATCTATGGTGGAAAAATCTGAAAAAGAGAAAAATGATATTCTGGAAGTTCTAGAAAAAGAAGTCACTTGTCCTGTCTGTCTCATGATCCCAAGAACTGAGAGAATAACTATCTGCAGGAATGGACATACCACTTGTGAGACATGTAAAAGGTAAAAAAAATCAATTAAAAGGGCCTCAGAATTGTTCTACTCTAACTTTTAATATACATTGGAATCCACAAGATAATTTCTGTATAATCTTAATACGTTAAATACATTCTCAATCTGTAGAATGCACAACTTTAAGAAAGAACATATATTTCCATTTTTTTTACATCATCCTCAGTCCCAGGACGGATTTGAACAATAAATTTTAAAGTAATTGAATATGCAATTATTCTCAAATCTTCAAGTCATAGTATTTATGAGAAAAGAAACTTAACAAATTATTGAATTATTGTTAAATCTGTTAAACCTTTTTTAGTCGAAATTGTCCTGTCTGTAGAACAAGGATGGAAGACGACATGTTCTCTCCTCTAACCCAGAACATCACAGAATTACTTGAAATATCCTGCATATTCGTGGATCAGGGTTGCACCATCAAACTCAAGAAGAGTGAAATTGTTAACCATGAGAAGGGAGAGTGCAAATACAGAGAACTCAAGTGTCCAGGATGTGAAGAGAAGATTCAAGCACGTGCACTTTCTGATCACTTCCGTAATTGTACTGAACTATATTTTGAACTAGATTTTAGAATTAAAGATGCGGAGTTGGATAAGAGGCGGACTGTCCTAAATACTCTTTTTAAAAATTTGATAGAATTCTTTGTGCCAGTTGTATACAAGCTTGAATCCTCTGAGAACTGGTTTTTTCTCTTTACTGATAGATTGGAAGATAAAGTGGTGTTCTATATAAAGCACTATAGTGGAGAGGAGAGGAAGAAAACATTCAGCTGCAATCTCAAGGTCTCCAATAAAGGAAAAGAGTTTTCTAGGTCTATGACTGGAGAGTGTACTCCTATTGAAATGGAAATCGAGGATGCCAGGAGAGAAGGATATACACTTGATATCAGTGTCGAAGTTATGAAAAGGAAGTGTTCATTGCCAAACACAGTAAACAAGTACAATTGGGACATTGAATTTGTTTTAATTAAAAACTGAATTTGAAAGTTTAAAAATGGAGAAAATGTGGCAATCTAACTTTGCTACAGCCCACATTCTCATGCAAACTACCAGTTTATTGAATGTTTCTTGCTATTTTACAACATTATTACTTATTAGCTTGCGCAAACAGAGAAAATTATATAATCTGTAAATTCTTAGTAAACTCCTGCATTGATCATTGTTATTTCTTGATTAATGCTTTGTCAATTATTCATTAACTTCTTTTTTGAGAGTAAAGAATTATTTTTTGACGAGAAGGAGAAAGAGAGAGCACATGATCTCAAGAATCTGCTGTGATCTCAAGCTCTCAACCCATAAATGAAAAAATGTTAAAAGTTTTTTAAAAATATTTGCAATTGATATTTTGTGAAAGATTTAATTATTTTTGTAATCAGTTTGGTAACAAATATTATTGTAATTGTTTTAATTTTTGTATTTTTCTTAAATCTTCCAACCATATTAACAATTTTTTAGATTTAAGCATACATTCCATATTTAATATGTTTTAACATTTCTTACTTACAGATTGATTAACATTTTAATTAACTTCTGTATTTCAAAGTATTCTTTTGAGATCCTATATCCTGTTTTAGAATGTCATGCTATACAAAACATAAGTTTTCCTTTTGATGAAAACACCAAGTTAGTTTTATCCGTCTAATCTATTAACTGAAAATATTTGTGAGTGATTTAATTTTTTTTCAGAAATATGGAAGAAAAATTAGGAAAGAGTACACACTACACACACTAACATGGTGAAAATATGGAAATTGGAAATTCTTTCTGTTTAGAGGCAAGTTTAGAGCAGTGAGCATGACTTCGTTTTTTTTTATAAAAATTATTTCTCACTTTTTGAGGGTTTTTATTGCTGAAGTTGGACTTTCAGGGAACTCAAATAATTGTTGTAAAAAAATTTTAAAACTGCTGAAGTCCTTTTTATCATTTCTATCTCTTGAAAACTATTTTGCTGTAATATTTTGATGAATTGACCACTTTAACTTTTACAAACAAGAAAAATGAAGTTTGCATTATTGTAATAAGAGGACAAAATGAATCTAGTTTTTACCAGTATATTATTCTAGAAGAACAACAGAATACAGAAACATAAAGACAAAGGATCTCAGAATGGAGAAGGATAATTTCAGTGGCAAGAATAATGTCTTCAGTAAGAATGAAACTAGCTTCAGCTTGGAGGAAACTGAGTTGAGATTTGAGAAGAATGAATCAGGTGTTGGAAGGAATGAGGTAAGAAAATAAGAGTCTGACTTCAGCCTGGAGAAGAATAACTCGAGTGCCGGAAAGAATGACTCAATTGCTGGTAAGAATGACTTCAGCCAGGAATAATGACTCAAGTTAAGGGAAAAATTACTGAAGTGACGGGAAGAAAGACTCAATAGCTAGTAAGAATGAGACTGACTTCAGCCTGGAGAAGAATGCCTCAAGTGCTGGTATGAATGGGTTAAGCCGAGAAGAGACTGACTTCAGCCGGGAAGAAAATGAGTTTAGAAAAGAGGAGACTGGTTACAGCAGAGAGCAGAATGACTTGATTGGCTTCAGCAGGAAGGAGAGTAATTTCAATATTGAAGGGAAAGAGGGAAATGCTTTGAAATCAAAAACAAAGGAAATCAACCTTGCTCACAGAAATTCTGAACTTGGTAAACATCTGAAGGAAGAGAAATCAACGAAGGAGAAATCAATAAAAGACAAAGCTGATCTTTTGAAAAAAATTTCTGAACTTAATGAAAGAGAAGGCTAACAAAGAAAATGCTGATCTCACAAAAAGAATTTTTATGAATAAAAAATTCTGAATTATATACACCCATGTATTTACATTGACCAGATTTAATGAAGGGAAAGAGGTAGCTTAACTTTTCATACGGCGTTCAACCACTTGTCTGCCAGTTTAATCTGAAGAAAAGGTTGAACCCCATCTACATGGTTTAACCACGTCTACACGGTTCAACCATGTCTGACTGTACATTGAATCGGGTAATAAGTTTGTTTACATCCTCGGCAGTCCTTATGAATTAAATGATTGTTTTGTTTTTAATAAGATAACTTGTTTTTAGTTCCTGGATGTTAGAAGTAAGAAGATGTTAAGGGAAGTGTCTTCTACACTAAAGGAAAGAGTTGAAGAATGTGAGAAATCATTCAAGTTTTGGATATTTGATTCAGAATTATCAACACCTCAACTAAATCAGTTAGCAGATTAAATTAAGACCAGCAAAGGTAAAACTGTTCAGAAAATAATGAAGTTGTAAATGTTATTATGATTTCTCCACTTAGTTATTAAAAACTTTAATTTAAATTTTCTTTTTGTTCAGGTATACCTATGAAAGACTGTTCTATTAATGGTGGAGAATATCTAGTAAAGATGCATCCTGAGCTTGAAAAGTTTGAAATCCATGGCTTATATTTTTCTGAACACGAAACTAAATTCAGTGATATTGGATTGAGGCCTGTGCTATCTCTACCTAATCTAACTTCTGTGATTGTCGGACGTTGGAAAAAACAAACTAATGCAATTTGTATAGGTGGATCTGTTTCAACCAGTCATGATGTGCTTTTTACTCATCTGGAAGCAATCGAAAATTTGATAAATATTGAGTTTCCAGGTGTTTCATGGCAAAGCACTGGCTCATTTAAAACTTAATTTTTACAAAATTATTTGTATATTTTATATTTTTTATATTTTATATTTTGAATTTTGGTTTTTCTCCGATTATATATTCCATATGAAGTATGAGACACGTAAAACCTAGGATGATCATTTTAGGTACTTTTAAACTGTTTGAGAAGAAGTTTCTCTGCCTGAGTCTTTTGATCCTAAACTTACTAGTTTCTTAATTCAAATTAGAGCTAGGATGTATATGTATAGTATTCACCCGTCTACAAGCCGATGATGAAAATTATTTCTAGGGCTGACTACGAAAGTAGATCTAAAATCAATTGTAAATCATGATTGAGTCCTCTATGATTGACACAGTAAGTTTTCCTTATATATGTTTTGAGATGAGTGATACAGATGCAATGAACTATGATGAATATGAAGCCATGAAGGAAGATCAATTTCGAGAATACAATGGTTCTCATCTTCTCCAGGTCCTACAAACCGTCGGAAATACACTTAAATCCTTAAGTATTCAGGGATCTCAAACTGGTACTGCTCTGCTTGAGTACAATGGAAGGCTGCCTTGTCTGGAGAATTTGAATCTCAACAGTAATGATTACAATATTGAAGGACTTCTACTTATAATTCACCTTTGTGGTAATACTCTTAAATCCCTCTCAACCAGGTGTCATTCTGTGTCTGGAAAAGTCTAATGGACCTTAATGGTCCTTTAATTGCCTTGGATTTACCGTTGAATTTATGTCCCTCTGAGTCTGACCTAACAGATGAAGAACTGCTTCATGTTCTCAATCAATGTGGACCTACTCTCAAATACCTCTATATCTCTTGTACATATTCAAGTTGTGACAATCTTTCAGAGTACAAGGGTTCTCTCCTTCTGCAGACTTTAAAGTTTGAAGAGTCCGAACTATCAGACAGAGGTCTTCTTAACATACTGAGATTGTGCAGAAGTACACTGGAATTCTTGGACATCAGGAATTCTGAAGTCAGTGGATCAGATCTCTGGAAGTTTTAAGGAACCCTTTCATGTTTAAGAGAGATAGAATGTACTTCGCTCTGTGGGTTTGGTGATAAAGAACTTCTCTATATACTTCGGATCTGTCGACCCACTCTCAAATCACTGAACATTGGAGAAGCTAATGTAACCGGAGAAACTTTGTCAGAATACAAAGAACCCCAGCCAGCTCTTCAGCATTTAGATGTTTCCAAAACTGAAAACAGAATAACTGACAAGGGACTGATGCAGATCTTACAAATATTTAGGAAAACAATTGTATCATTAGATGTCAGCATATCTAGAATAACGGGAAGAAATCTGAGGAAGTTTAAAGGTTCTTTGCATTGTTTGGAAACCCTAGAGAGCAATGATACCTATAGAGAAGAAGGTGTATTCCGTATACTAGAACTCCTAGAACTCTGTGGAGTTAATCTTAAGCGCCTGGCGATGTATAAGACCAAGTTAAAGAGTAACACTTGGGAAAAAATACATGAAGACTTTCCCACTATTCTTCTTATGCCAACAAATTAAGAACTGTTTGATCATGGATATTACTAGATTCGTTATGCAACTCAAAAACAAGCTTTAGTTGAATGTCCGTCATTGTCTACCCATTTTTTTACAAACCAAAGAAAGGAGAATCATGCTAAATAATCATTAGTGTAAATGATTTTTAAATCTAGTGAAAAAGCAATTATATTTCCTGCTAAGTAACTAAATAACAAAATAAACCATTTAATTTTATGAAAATAGAACTTTCAGAATTTTTAGTTAATTAATAAGCTTCAAATCTTTATTTAAACTTTAAATGTTCTTTTTAAGTAAACACAATCGATAAGTTTGTTCATCTTGTTTTGTAAGGTTTTGGTTTGAAAATTAAAGGTAAGACGAAAGAGTTGATAAAAAGTTTACATTTATTTTTTTTATGTTGAAAGAAAATAATCTAGTTATGATGGAGTTAATAGAAAATAATCTAGTTATGATTGTGTTAAAAAGATTAAAACATTGTTTATTTTGTCTTACTTCGAAATAAAGATGTTTTGTACTATTAAAATGAAGTAAACTTGGAGTTTTTTGTCAAATATTTTTAACATTTATATTTTTTTTTTTTAGCAACTCTTAACTTCGGATTTTTTTGACTATATTTCAGATTGAACAAATTTGATGCATTGACCACGTACATAATTAGGATGATTATTATAGGTAATTTATCCCTTGGCGGTTCTTACCAGACCCTTAATTCAAAATAAGACTGGGATGTTTATGTTTTGCAGTAACCCGTCCACAGGATGATGATGATAAACCCTTTTAAGGCCAATTACGAATGTAGACCATTTCTATTCAAAGTACATAGAAAAGCATCATGAGTGTCAATTGAAAGCATCTAAAGCGACTACTAACTGATAAAACTTAAACTGTTTACTTAGGTATGATAGAATGAGATAGATAGATAAAGTTTATTGCTAAAATACATGTATCTGTGTACAAAACGAGTTTACAATTACAAATTGATGATTATATTAACAGTACAAGTATAAAGCAATTAGGTGGAAAATAGCTCTTGGCTGTTTTGATTATTTTTTCCACCTAATTTCAATAATGATAACAAAACATTTCAAGTAAATAGATTTAAGGATAACTATTAGAGATCAGGGTGCGATTTTATCTTATGCCTTAAGGCCTAACTTACAGCATTATAATCAAATATGCAGTACTTGATCTATACACTATAATCTCGTTGGAGTCACTTTTCAGTATTTAACTTGCAAAAATGTTATGAACACATCATGTTAGCGATGTCTCGTCAGTTGGTTCATTTTCGGGTCGATTTTTGTTAATATTTTCTATCAGGGTCCAAATTAAGCTTAGTATAAGTAAAGCAAACATAGTCGGAACATTTTTTTCTCAAATTTTGATCCTGTCAGAAGTTATGTGCAAAAAACGACCAAAAAATGACGCAAAAACAATCCAAAAATGAAATAATGATTGTTTTCGAATTGTTTTTGCGCTTTTAATCTTTTTCGATTAAAGATATTGCAAAGTTGAATAAAAGCAAATATTTAACGTAAATACAGTTTTGAAATCTTTTAAGTTTATTAAATTTGTTCTAAAAAGGATCCTAATAACGTTTTGCAGAATAAAAATCGGCCTTCGGCCGTTGTAACGTTGACTCTTAACAAAGACGATATCGAATTTGTCACTCAATGTAGTAAGATTAAACGGATGATGAAGTACTAGCAAGAAAAAGCTAACAATAGTTTTTAAAAAGCAGTCTCTGCAATTTGTTTGCGCCTGATGAGCGCTACGGCTGTACCGATTGACCCCAATGTTTTGGGTGTTTTTACAATAAGTCTATGGTAGTCAACACGGCAGGGAGGAATATAATGTATTCACAAAATAATTACCTGTTAAAATTTGCCGAACAAATTTCTTCTCATAAGGTAAGAAAATGTATTCAGAGGAAAACAATTAAATTTAAATTATCACGAGAAAAAATGAAAAAGGAGCAACCCTCCCATGTTTTTGATAAATAATTATGGAAGAATATTGTATTCATTATCACATAAATGAATGTAAAATGTAAATTCAAGTTTGTTTCAGATTGAAAGTTTAAAAGAATATAATCATTTAAACTCGTATGTATTTATTAATATATTTACAACTAGCTTGGGCTCCCAGCTTGGGATGGGAGGGAGTCATATTTAAGCCCGACGTTTAAACGCCCCTTATTTTTCCAGGGGTTCTTGAGTTATGATCGGACAAACAGAGATTACAACTTTAGAAATATATTTATTATGAACATTTTACAATATATAAACTACATTATTTATTAATATATTGTTAGAATTGGGCTTTGTTAATTTTATATCACAGATCGTTAAGAAGTCAGTGTGGTTTCTCCGCAAACGTAAATCCAAGGCAGTTGATGAAAATGTGTAAACAATATCTCTAATTTTAGTATTGGGGTCTTGCAGAATGCACATGTTTAACTTCTTTTATTTACAAATTACAATTTTCTGACCAATCCAAACAATCCTTACTTGCCTTGACCCAAGGGTGTAATGCAAGGAAAGTTAATTGCAGTTGTGTATACTCTGCGTACACATTGAAACCAGTTCTCTTTGGGCGGAATTTGTAAACAAGAATAGATGCATCAGTGTTCGTTATGGTTCGTTAAATATCCGAGGAGGTTAAAAGCATTAAATTTTGATAATTTTGTTAATTCACATAATATAACCAGAATATTTCATTGATTTTTTATGTGAAAGATGGATCACATGTCAGGCTTTGACATCCGTCTTGTGTTTACATTACCGCCCAGAGACAGTACACTGCAGTACAAAAGATGTGTACACTTCTGAAATAACTTTCTTTGCATTACATCCTTGCCTTGACCATTTCTAGTTAAAGGAAATGTCGACAAAACTTCAATTGATCTTCCATTTAAAGAGTTCCATGTCCAATTTACGATACCATTAGGAGCCATAAAAATGTGACATATGAAGACGACGTTTAAGCATTCGTATGTGCAATGTGCATATGATGTTGTTTTTACAAAGCAAATAGTTTTGTTACTAAAGTCGTTAAGAATAAACGGACTGTGTACAATATCTGTGTTTCATTTTCATTTGACTTAAACATTTAAAAAATTAATTATAATTTTCAAAAATAGTTAATACAAAACTGTACAAATAAATTTTGATTGCTGTGCAATAAATTCCTTTATTTAATTTTCCCCACTAAATGATTCTAAATGATTCTCGAAATTAAATTTATAACTTGAGTCCTACAGTCGTCCTCTTTTTTGATGAGCCTCGCTGTTTTACCTTTTATCTAAATATCAGAGTAGGACAAAGTTGTCAGCTATCTTAAAAAGAGAAAATTTCTTTTTAATAAGTAGCGTTATGAATCGGGCATACACCTCTTTAACTTGAAATAACGTGGATAGTCCCTTGAAGAATATTGATTACACATTATGATCAAATAGATGTACGGAGAGGGAGACTTAACACCAGGCAACAAAAGTTATCCTCTCAGAAGACATAGTCCGAAAGAAAGGAGAAGAATCGAAGAAACTGAGTTGAGAAAACCGTGCAGCCTGGATCCGGCAGATGCTACGGAACTTGGTCTCACCCTGAAAGTTAATCCATTAGCTTCAGTTTTTATGAGAGACACATTTGTTAATAATTGATTTTTTTGTGATCTCTATTCAATTTTACTTTTTACAGAGCTTGGAACTTTTGAATCTTAAACTTGATTTCGATATACAACGTGCGTACTTTTAAATTGGAGATCAATGCTTGATCCCTCAATTGAAGTTATCCCTGCAGGGTATTTTCACCAGGAGAAAATAAGCAATGTTTATATCCCGAGAACCACAGCAAAAACTTTTATAAAATCTTAAATGTGTTCCCCGTCAAGCATGCAATTTAAAAAAGTATTTTTCTAAAAATTATGTTTACCCAAAACAATATATTTGTTTTGTACAGTTAAAGATGATACATATTTTTATGTTTATTTCCATTTTTACCTTCACATTTTTATTTGACAAAGGAATTATCTAAAAACTATCCTCCACAAACTAGGCTGATGTATAAATCAACCACTGATCTAGGCTGATATATATAAACCAACCTCCGAACTAGGCTGATATTTAAACCAACCTCCGAACTAGGCTGATATATATAAACCAACCTCCGAACTAGGCTGATATATATAAACCAAACTCCAAACTAGGCTGATATATATAGATTAACCTCCGTACTAGGCTGATAAAAGAAATAACCTCCGAACTATACTAATATATAAAAACCAACCTCCAAAATATATAAAACTAACCTCCGAACTAGGCTTGCCTCCTGAATGCTCGGACTGCCCACGGATCCCTCCTCCAGTAGAGGATTATATGTGATGGACCTGAGCAACAATTAATCTATTTTTGTCTCATGGTTTAATGGAAAATCCATAGATTAATTAATATAACATATAGGACACTAGATGTCGTCTTTCAAGATTTGGATGAAACAAGGGAGTAAGGAATAGAAGGGAGAGACAACTGACGCGGTTCGCCCTACCATATGATTATACATGCTTTGCAGACGGTACTCCATTTTATATCGAGCTGTTTGGTTTCTTTAGTAGGGCCCCACAGGAAAAATATGTATTGGCTCAATTTTCTTTGACCAGTTTCGCCAATACATATTTTTCCTGTGGGGCCCTACTAAAGAAACCAAACAGCTCGATATAAAATGGAGTACCGTCTGCAAAGCATGTATGATCATATGGTAGGGCGAACCGCGTCAGTTGTCTCTCCCTTCTATTCCTTACTCCCTGGATGAAACTCATTCACAATAATCCTGAGGCAGAAGCCCAGAGGAGTTTCGCGCTATCAGCGAAGAACAGCTCTCCTTGTCTTGTAATTCTACGCCGACTGCGCGAAACTCCTCTGGGCCTCAGTCACAGGGTTATTGTTGACGAGTTTCACCCAAATCTTGAAAAGACGACATCTAGTGTCTTATCTGTTATTTTAATTAATTTATGGGAAAATCAAATATGGAATTTAAATTAATTAAATCCAAACCAAACAATTTAAACATGCAATTTTAAACTGAATTATGGTTGCATGTTTAATTTACAATCTAATAAATGTTATCAATAATGTTGGATTTTCTGTTTTTAAAATTTACCTTAATGTTTGCCATGTTGTTGTAGGACTATCAGTAGTGCTAAAAATAAACAAAAATACAAATTTTAAATAATTCGATCAGTTGACAGTTACAGCTACTGTCTCTTTGGTTATAAATGATTTCTGATGAAAGCGGGTTAGCCCGATTCACACCGGTATCCTTTTCAACCCTTTATCCGATATAAACAATGTGGAAGATGTCGTCGTTTTTAAGAGACGAGATATATTTTATTAAATCATGCTCTTTTTATCATAGAATTTTCAAAATGTATTAAAGGCTAAATTTTGTCTGACGTCCCTGTAATTCCCATGATTATTGAAATACTCTGTAAAGTTCGGTGGTAGGCGTACATACATAGAGAATAGAATATATATTAGAGGCGAATTTAAGGAATCTCTCGGTATGAATTTGTTCAGTCCCTTTCAGCCTGAAAGGGAGTTCAAAGTGTACAAATCATGTAAATGTTTACAAATTATATGCAGTAGAGTACATTATGACAGTATGTTCCCTAGACTATTCATTTCAATTTCGAATTTTTTAAACTGTTAAATAAACTTTATAATGAATTAGGTGGATAAAAACATCATTTGATTTATAGTTATAACGGAAAATCATCATTTGTAAAGTGGAAGGCATAGAGTCTATGTGAAATGATCATTGGTCAATTATGAAACAAGCCTATTTCATAATTTGGGTTTCTTTTAACAACAATTTTAGATTTTCTATAAAATGATATTCCAGGGCCCAGAAGGTTATGTAGCATAAATATGTGAAGTACACCTGCAGTATGGAAACATTACAACAAAATGGCCGATTTTACACTTTTTTCAAGTAAATTCCCCTCTAATATATATTCTATTCTCTTTGCGTACATATCAATAAATTGACGACGACTTTCGATTTCAATTTAGATTTATGACAAGCTTTTGAACAGCATGGATACACAGAAACATGGAAACAAAGAGAAACTGTCAATTAAAAAAGCCTCTCTTTAATTACTTGTAAACAGTAATTCTAAAAAAACTTGTTAACCATTAAAACGTAAATAAAAAGTCGTCTTCATTTTATTGATTTAACCTCAGCTACCACTGTATGTTTTACCTAAAGACAGCTCCTGGATTCCGAGCTCTAATAAGCCGGTCAACATCCCACACCTGTGGAGAACTAAATCCAACCTGTAATAAAACAAATTATTAATGGTGGGGCTCAAATACTAAGCTGAGTTAACGAAAGCTTAGAATTTTTTGGGATTAAATTTACAGGATAACCCTTAATTAACAATGAATATATTGTTAATTATCAATGTATATCTTGTTAATTTACAATAAATATCCTATTAATTAACAATGAATATATGGTAAATTAACAATGAATATTTGGTAAATTAACAATTAATTAACAATGAATATCAGGTTAATTAACAATGAATATCCGGTTAATTAACAATTACTATCTAGTTTATTAACAATGAGTACAGGTTAATAAACAATGAATATCTGTTTAATTAACAATGAATATCTGCTTATTTAGCAATAAATATTCGGTTAATCAAAAACGGATATCCGATTAATTAAAAATGAATATCCAGGTAATTAACATTGAATATTCGGTTATTAGCAATGAATATCCGGTTGATTTACAGCGAATATCCGATCGAATAATTAAATGTTACAACATTCAGTCTAATGTTAAAATATGTGTATGTAGAGTGTTTGACAAGTTTTGGCAAAGATTGGTAAAGTTTGTAAGTTCCTGATTCTAATTTGGCTATTGTACAATCCTATACTATAAGTATGACATAAGGAAGGGTTGTGCTGATTAAATATTATTATGTAACTGCCTTGGTGCCTTGTAACTAAACAAAAGGAACTGAGTTCCTGCCATAAACTCTGATGATATAATCCCTATATCTTTGCAACCCAATGTCGTAGACCTTTTACATTTCAAACTGTGAATTATGTTATATCAAATAATCTAAGTTTGAAATATCAAAGGTATACACCATCAGGTTAAAAAGATATTAGGATCAGTATAGTTTAGTATGCGACAAAAACGCAATTCCTTTGCTGCGGGGAATTATATCTATTTATGCAACTGCCTTGTGTTATAATACTGAAAATGAAATAAAATCAAATTACAGAAAAAATACACGGGATATTAATTCTCTCAAAATGGAATAAAACTAATTTTTTTTCAAAGTTTATTAATTTTATATGCAATCAATTAAAGTGTTTTTCAGTCTTTTATTTCTATTTTTACACTATAATATGAAAAATGCCACATTGTACGCAATAATTTGCTTAAAACTGTCCAGTGTCTATAATTTTTTCTAATGCAAACCTCAATTGAGCGATACAAATCCTACAAACTTATTCTAAGTTTAAAAATATCCCTTGAGCAAAATAATACAATGGAGGCCTGAGAATCTTACTTTATAAAACCATAAATAATGTTAAAACAAAGCCATGAGTGTTGCATGGGAAATAAATCCCTGCACAGTTAATTGGAGAAAAAGAATTATACAAACAATTAAATCTTTAACAAAATTTACGAATTGTCGGTTAGTGACGATAAATATAATTGTTTTTGGTTTTTGTTTTTGGCGGAAAAATCTTTAAAATGTAAACTCTATTTTGTAAATGATCTCAATTTGAAACTATTTCTGACCTTTCAGTTTGATATGTTATATTTTAATACAGCAGAGTGAAGCTAATCTTATAGAAGAGTACATGCAAACTATAAATACAGGGAAATCAAAATAATCCTGGGGGGTGGGTGTAACAATAACATCCCCTATAATCCTGGGGGTTGTGACAGTAACACCCCCTCTAATCCTGGGGGAGCGGGAGGAATAACAGTAACACCCTAAATTTTTTTCTTCTTTGTTTTAAAATGTAAACAAAAAGAACATGTTCACAATTTAAATAGAAGATGGGCGCGAAGCGCCCTAAAAGCCTAGTAATGGAAATTTGCAAACATTGTGTTTGCATAAATATTAGATAATGCCTAGACTGGAGACCTTGAATTACAACTGAACAATGCTTATTATGCAAACAAACTTGTTAAATGAATAAACATTGTACATGATACATACGTACATTATGAATTTAAAGGAAAGACAAAGAAGGTTAGATTTAATAAATATTTGTTCAATATTCTTTTTCCATAAATTGAGCCTTTCTAATCGGAAACTTAAAACAAAACGTATTTTTTAATGGTTATTATATTGAAATAAAGAAATGTTTTTGCAACAAATATTAATGTTTTTATCCCTATCTCTTTGTAGCCTGATGATCAGGATCGTATAAACCTTTGACATTCCATACTCTTTATTAGATATAGCAGAATGTACATAAATATATATATATATATACTACATAGTTTAAATTATCAAAGGTATCCAACATGAGTTTGCAAAGATATAAGGATTAGAAACTTATAGTTCCTCTATACCTATTGCTGCATTATGATTATATCAATAAACAACACTAGGATGTAAAAATGTTAAAATAATATTATTAACAAACTTTATTTTTCTACTTGCACCGGATAGTGTAATACATGATATTAGTTTTAACTAAACCATGGTACAACCCCCCCCCCCCACCCCCACCAGTTCGTGCTGGAGTTCTAGCTTCCTTGAATCATGATTTTGAGTGGTTTTAATTTATCCTATACGGAAAACCTCACACGTCCTTCATACAGGGTATAGTTTCCTCTTTGGTTCCACTACATGTATTCAATAGTTTAGATAAATTTTAGATCTTTAATAGAAGAGTTATCAATCATCTGGCAGCCTGAAATCTAATCAAATCATTTCTATTCTAAATTGGTTACAAGTCGTATATTAAGACTCAGGGTATGACGGGAACATAAAGGAACCGGAGAACCATGAAGGTTTTGGATAATTGAGAATTTAGAAATCCAAAACTGACGGATAAATGAGAATAAGGAGAACCATAAAGGTCAAAGAACCTAAGGCATAAAATTGAAAGAAAGAAGAGAAACATTTACATTTGAACCCAATAGAACCTTTAGAATCAATAGAACCAATGGAATCAATAGAACCAATGGAACCATTAGAACCAATAGAACCAATAGAACCAGGAGAACCAATAGAACCATTAGAACCAATAAACCAGGAGAACCAATAAAACCAATAGAACCATTGAACCATTAGAACCAGTAGAACCAGGAGAACCAATATAACCAATAGAACCAAAAGAACCAATAGAATCAGGAAAACCTGCAGAACCAATAGAACCAGAGAACCAAGAGAACCAGAGAACCAATAGAACCAAGAGAACTAATAGAACCAGAGAAACAATAGAGCCATGAAAACCAATAGAACCAGGAGAACCAATAGTACCAAGAGAACCTGGAGAACCAAGAGAACCATAAAAAAAACAATAGAACCAAGAGAGCCAGGGAACCAATAGAACCTGGAGAACCAGAGAATCAATAGAGCCAGGAGAACCAAGAGAAACAAGGAGTACCAGGAGTACCAGAAGAACTAACAGAACCAGGAGAACCAGGAGAACCAATATACCCAGAAAAACCAGGAAGAACCAGGAGAATCAATAGAACCAGGAGAACCCGGAGAACCAGGAGAACCCGGAGTACCAGAACCAGGAGTACCAGAACCAGGAGTACCAGGAAAACCAGGAGAACCAATAGAACCAGGAGAACCCGGAGAACCAGGAGAACCAGGAGAACCAGGAGTCTCAGGAGAACCAGGAAAACCAGGAAAACCAATAGAACCAGAAGAACTAGTAGAACCAGGAGAATGCTATGTAGCTAGGTGGTGCAGTGCATGATAAAGAACTCCATATATGGATATTGGATGGATCTGATGGTTTGACAAGGAAGTGTGTTTGTACTGCACTGGTTCAATGTATGGATAGACAGATAGGTAGTTAGATGGGTAGATAGATAGATAGATAGATATTCTTTAAAAGCTTATAAGGATCATGAATTTATCAGAATTCCATGTTTATCTCTTTGATAGCTTATAAGATTATGAACTGATCAGAAATCCATGTCTATCTCTTTAAAAGCTTATGATCATGAACTAAAAATTCTGCTGTAGAAACAGTGGCAGGAAATATCAGAATTGATTACTTTAAAAGCTAAAAAACGACAATATCTTCCACATTATTGCTCAAATATAGGTTAAAAGTGTACTAAAACAAAAGAAAAAAAGGATAAAAAAATCAAACAAAAATGCTTTCAGATAGAAAAAAAATTATGAGGATGCAAAGAAAAAATTGAATATAGAAAATGTGACTTAAAATAAAAAGTTACATTTTTAAATTTAGATTTAATTACCTTTGATTAAATTTACATCCCGTCTGTATTCCCATATTTACATTTCTTGATTTTTGAAATATAAAATTGTAAATAGAAATATTTTTTCATAAACATGAATAAAAGGTTATGTTTTTAATCTTTTGAATATCTTATCAATTTATTTATTTATTTTAATTGAAAAAAGGTATGTGTAGAAGGAAGTTCCTTAAAGGGACTGTAAAGGAAAAATGAAAGGGGGTATTGGTTAAAAGCTAATCACTTTAGCTCTTGATCGCCACCCATGAAAGTTTTATCTGATGTTCCTGTCTCGAGAAATTGATTGTGTCAAAGTTATACGAAAATTCATGTAAATGCAATTTTCGGCAAATACGCAACCAACCTGAAAACAAAGATATCACAGAAACCAAATTGTAACTTTCTGCAATTATTATTTTATCATTTTTATTTTTATTTTTAATAGATATAATTGATAATATTATTTATAAGTCCGTATTTCGTTACAAGAACTTAAAAAATACAGTTAAAAACAATTGTTTACATTAATAATTATATTCAGAATAACAGAAGAACCCTTGCCCCCCCCCTCTACCTCCCTCGCCCCTCTTCCTCCCTTCTTAAAATTTTTTTAAAATCCAAACACAACCCACTAGATTCCACTATATTTGCATTCTTAAAAATATTCAACTTAAAACTGATTTATGTCAAAGGAAGGTTTTTCTGTGTAAAAAATATATACCCCTGTAAAGTTTGATACAGATAAAGCAATTATACGTTGTCAGATAGCTTAAAGATCGAGTTATCTTGCAAATCATTTAACAAATTATCTTTCTGTCTGTTTTGCATCAACAGATTGACAGATTGACAGTTTGACAGATTGACAAATTGACAGACTGTG